TGATTTAAGTTTTGCTAGAGCTCCTTGATGCCACACTCAATAGTTGAATATGGCCTTGATGTCAAGAGCTGTCACTTTCACCTCACCTCTGGAATTGCAGCATTTCCAGCTGTTTGTTGGTTGGAACAATACAAAATAGACCTCACTGTGGAAACACACATCTTCCGAGCACAGTGCCGGCAAGTTCAAATTTGAATTTGAATCATGTGGAAAATGGAAAACTGCCAAGGAAGGGAAGTGGCACACACCTCTGTGTCCACTGCCAGGAATAGTATATCACAGTTAAACCTTCATTCAAAGGGTTAATGGCCTCTTTCTGTGCTGTAACCATTCTATAATCCTATCATGGTGAGCTGAAATGCCCATGAGTGTATATAATTAATTTAGATTATTTATTAATTAACATAATACCCTTATGTCAACTAGGGTAGGTTCAGTTTGGCTTATTGTTGAAACAAGACAATTGAATTTAACATGATAGAAATATAAAATATGATACCAGATCAAGTAGCACAGATAAAAGAGATACCAGCAGTCCCCAAGTTGCGAATGGGCTCTTTTCTGGAGTCTGTTCACAAGTCAAGTTGTACGCAAGTCAAAGCGCAATGGAGGACAATGGAAAACAACTGTTTGTAAGTGCAGGAACTGTGCACATGTCAGATTTTTAAAATTATACCCTTGTATGGGATTGCATTTGTGAGTACCAGCGTTTGTAAGTTGGGTACGTCTATACTTGCATCACCAGTTTTCACCTTCTTCCAGCTTTCCAAACCTTTTTGTTGATACCACTAAAGTATGTTTCTGTTTTCTGTTCAGGGTTTGAATCTTGATCTACCTTTCCTCAAGATTCTTCCTTTTCGTTAAGGTAATTTCTATGAGGAACTTGCTTCTCACACAGTTTCCAGTTCTAATAAGTATTTGTACCTTTATCTTTCCGATGCTGATTGACCTACTAGGCATTTTGAGCATTTAATATCTTTGTTACAGATTTACCGATTTCCAGATTTTAAATTATTTTTATTCAAGCTTATTATACAGAATTTTTCTGACAAAACAGAAATAACAATTTGAATTGTTTTCCTAGAGTTGCAACACTCTATGCAAAATGAGAGAAAGGGTTGAGAGATGTGAAGTGATTGAGGCTGAGAGCAAGACATTGAGAAAATGTGTGGACAAGATATCGCATACCAACAAAGTGAACACTGTATTTCACCCTCCTACTCACTCACACTTATGAATAATGCTAGGACTTTAGGAGTTTAATTGAACTCATGCCAGTAGAGCAACATAACTACTGTCTGGTCCAGCAACTCTGAAACTTGACCCCATTTCTACACAACCACTGGAAACAGTGACAAACTTGATAACAAAGTTGAACCTCATGGGAGGATTGCATTCCATTAAGTAGAAACTAGTTTGAAGCTTGCTTGCTAAAATTTTACAAATATACAACTGTTATTCTGATACCACAGCTATTAATATGTCAGTATGAACTTTAAATAAGTTCTCTTAATGACAGTCTTGGATTAAAATTGTTGATCAATACACTTCCTCCCAAAATCTGCCAGGTAAATTTTGAATCTTTTCTCCTGCTAATATTCTTATCAAGTTTTTTTTACGACTTTATTTAATTATAAAGAATGAAGAATGAGGAATGTTTCACTTTACATGAGTAAAACTGAATTTCTTTCTCTATTAGCCATTGTTGTTTATTATCGACTCTAACTGGAAGCCTTTCAATTAGGCCCTGAGCTCTGTATTTATCTCCCTAAATCTTTCTACTTCTTAAAGTCTCTTACCTCCCTTAAGACTATTCTTAAAACGTATCTAACTCTTTGACAAAATGCTTAGCTATCTGACTTATTTTATCCTATGTGGCTCAAATTTACTTTTGTAATGCTCATGTACAGTGATGTGGAACATTTTGTTATGTTGAAGTTCCATTATAAACACAGGCAGTCTACATGAAAACAATTGCACGCACCACTTATGCAGTTGGGTACAGCAAATAAATAGGCTTCTGAATACAAGTTGTGTTCTTATTGTTGGATTTTTAAGAGTTTTTGATGTATCATCTATCTGTGCAATCGTTCCAGCTTCCCATCAAACACATCCAGATATTTCCAAGCAAATATGCACAGATATACTCTATATCTATTAAATGCCTTAATTTCTTCCAACAAGCAGAGAAAGAAAGGGAGAGAGAGAGGCCCCTCTTTTAATAATGGCAGCCATTTGTTCTGTTCAGACCAGAAGTGCTTACAGTTTATCAGTCAACTGCTTTTTTTCTAAAAGTCAGACTTCTTAACAGATTTAAACACTTTTGATAGATTATTGTTATCAACCAGGCACAAACAAGCTTGTTATTAAAAACAACTTGCAAAATCTTTTCAATGTTTCAACCTCTGTTGAAAAGTTGGTTTTGAATCTATCCGGGACTATGCGGTTGAGGCAGCAGGGAGAAGCCTATTTATTTGCTCTACCCAACTACATAAGTGGTGCATGCAATTGTTTCCACATAGACTGCCAGCTGGAACTCTAGGGAATGTTCAGCTATTTTCTACTTCCACAAAAAAAGTGCAGCCTTCAACAAAAAGTTTTCATCTGCATTGCACAGCTACAATTTTTAACAAAAAAAACCCTTAAACCACTTTAGTACATTTCTCTTAAAATAAAATATAATGTGTAACTAAAACTAAAGTAACCTAAAAGAAACGTGTTCTGCTGTGAACACCAGTTTACTGCTGAGTTGAAGCAGGCCCAAATATAAGTATGTGGTTTTAAGAAAAGAAAAATCGAGCCAAAATAAGCAATGGAGCAATTCCTCTGACCTGAGACAGACTGCAGGAGAATGTTTGATATTTTCTCCAACTTGTGGAGATGGAAGTACCTCCTAACAACTTCAAAAACGGCTCAAAGATTGAGGAAAAAAGAACATGCTTTTATACCACAGCTGCTACTTTTGTAGTAGTTTCAATTTCTCAATGTCATTCAAAGAAATAAATAATAATGTCTAATTTAAAGATCTTTTCTCCTCAGTTAACAGTTTAGTCCAGTTAAGCTGAAGTAACCAGTTTGTCCCATTGTGGAGGGTTGATCATTTGATGCAGATATACAAAATCCTAGAATTATTGAATGATAGAATGGTTACAGTGCAGAGGAAACGATTTTGCAAAAAGCAACTCAGCTAATCCTACACCCCCATCTTTTTTCATACAGCCTTGCAATTATTTTCTCTTCAGAAAGATGGCCACTTGAAAGCCACCAATGCATTGTCAACAGTGCATTCCAAATCTTCATTAGTCACTATGCAAAAAAAGTTTTCTCTTCAGTTGCTATTGGTTTGTAAACTGGCATCTTCTTGTACTTGATCCTTTTGCCAGTGGGTACAGTTTTTCTCTATCTACTTTGTCCAGGCCTGTAGTAATCTGGAAAACCTCTATCAAGTCTCCTCTTAATCTTCAAAGGGGACAGCCCAGGTTTTCGAATCTATCCGTGTAACTGAGCATGCAATCTTTCATTAGCACAACTCCAAAAGAATACTCTGAACATTTCTGATTACTTTTGTGATAACTGTATTTTAGTTTATATATGAAGTATGGAGACGTTTGAACTGGAAGATTAACATCAGTTATATATTAACAGTCAGGTCGGTTTACAACACTTAAACAGTTAAATGTAGAGTGCTTGAAGAAGAGTTCTCAAACGAAAGCTCTGGAATGAATATTTGAGCTCCCCCTCCCCACCAATAAGGTTGACAATGAAGGCTGGGAGAGGAGGAGGGGAGGAGTTGTGGGAGTGCCCAAAAACACTGGCTCTGACTGACAGGTCAGATTTGAAACTGCAGCAATATTAAACAGGAGGGAGGGGAGGGTCGAACAGCAATCCCATTTGTCTCCTGATGAGCCCAATTAAAGCACCTAAGAAGCTTGTTTAGAGCCTTTTAGAGAAAGTTGTATTTTGAAAGGGGCACATTGGATTATGTGCACTGTCCTTGGGGTTTTGTTGTCTGGTTCTAGTGTACTTACCTTTGAGCCAGAAGGTCTGGGCTCAAGTCCCATCTGCACTGGAGGTGTGTCAGAACATATTGACCAGGTTGACCAAAATAAATATGAGCTGAAGGGAGGCAGGTATGGAGTGAGGAATAAGTCATCGTTACCACAGACAATCATCAGTCACCATTAGAGGGTCAGCAGTGTGAAGGCACATTAGCATTTGGTAGAAATGTGTGTTTAGCACTACCCAGATGAGGAGAATGTAGGAGCTAGTACTTGGGCATTGAAGGGGAGCTGACATCCCTATCCCTCCAGTATCACAGGGTGAAGGATGGGCTAGTACAATTGGGTGGCCTTGTACCTCAGACCCAGACTACATTGATCAGAATTTGGATTCGCTGATGATTCAGAGAGAAATACTTTCACAGGGCAGTCTGAGCTCTGAGCAGCAGGAGAACACAAAACAGACAAAAGGACGGGAACATAAGGGAAGTCAATTCTCAATAACAACAGCGCTATTGGAGATAGCCTGAAGATAATTGAGACCCATTGCCACAAGAGACTGCCACTCTCTAGATGGATGGTCGCAGATATCTATGCCCTTGTCTTTGAAGGCCGCTGACCTTGCAGTATTGTGCTAACAGCCATCAAAGTTATTGAAACCTTGAGGTTCTTTGTTTCTGGTTCCATCCAAGGATCAACGTCTGGGAGGGCAGCCACCAGTTACTGATGGCAGTCTGTCTCTCTGAGCTGCTGTCCCAGCCAGAGGGCCTATGGCACTGCAGCTTTGGCAATGCCAACATGAAATGGCTTTAAGTCAGTAATCCAGTATTATCACATTGATTTCCAATAGTACAGAAAATAGGCATGTTGTGATCCCAGTCGACGGCATTTCCAGACATGTCAAATCCTGGAGTGATACGGAGTTGATGACCTGAAGTTTTATGTTTTTTTGATTGCCCTGAAGATCAGTCACTGAACATATTCACAAGAGGTGGCAATATATATTGAATGAAAGAACATAAATGTTTATTACACAAATGAAAAACTTGAACCATGCTATATTTGACAAGGACTATTGGAACAAACGCATCTTAAATATCAGAAAGAAAGATTCAGTTCTTCTATCCTAAACAATAATCTTACAGACTCTCAAACCTCAATGAAGGTCACCCCTATCACTACATTGAAGGTCTGTTTAGCTAGCATAGCTGTAATCAGTTTTATTTTTGGCAAATTTCTGTGCATTCACTCAATGCTAATTGCTTTAATTGGTATATTTCCCTGAGGCCTTTAAAGATGTGGCTAAGTCTGCCTAACATGTCTGCTGAACATGGGCCTGTGTCCATCTATCTGTTTCTCTCTCTCTCTCTCTCTCTCTCTGTCTGTCTCTCTCTCTCTCTGACACACACACACTCTCTCGACCTGCACCCTATTATTGGCTTCTGGACCATGTAAGCATTGTCCAATGGGAAAAGGTTTCTGGAGGAGGATGATAGTGTGGAGCCTGCTACTCAGCAAGAGCTTGTGGAGAGGCAGCAACAGCAGGTATAGGTAGGCATGGCCATTGTTGTGCTATCAGAGAATACTGGTAAAGAATGGCATAACTCCGAATGTCAGCGCATCAGTGCCTGAGAAGACTGTGTCTCTCCATAGAGACAGTCTTATCATTGTGCCACATGTTGGCTGGAGAGATTGTGTTGGAGTTAACCCAATGCCTGTGGCAATGGTCCTGAAATTTTTCACTCTTGTGTCATTTCAGGCATCATCAGGAGAGCTGTGTAAAATATCACAGCAGTGATTCATCACCGTGCAAAGATTTTACAGATGCAATCTTCAGTCCTGTCCATCAATTCATTTTATTTAGCACTGGCAACTCCAGTCAGGCAAACTGATCCAGATGCTTTACTGACTTTTCAGCAGTGCTGAAAGTATAAGGGACCTTGGATTGCACATGTCTGGCAATTAAAGGACCTTGGAGACAGCCAGGGGCATTTGTTAAACTGAAGAGGTTCCTTACTCTTCCATCAATGTGTAGTTTGTATAAACAGGCAAAAGTGTGTACACTAGCTGGCAAGCAAGAGATGGTTCAAGACTCCAATCTGAAATTCTCACACTGAGTCTGAGGAGAGATACCATAAGGGTCGCTGCTCAGAGACTATTGCTCAGCTAAAATGGAATAGAAATATAGGAACATAGAAGGCCATTCAGCCCAATGGGTCTGCTCCACCAGTCAGCATGAGCAAGGCTGATCCTTTATCATTATCTCACTCTCTCCTCATACCCCTTGGCACCTTTAGCCTCAAGAAATTCACTTTTTTACTTCTTTAATATATTTAGTGGCTTTGCCTCCACAACCTTTTTGTGATAGAGAATTCTGCAGGCTCACCACCCTCTGAATGAAGAAAATTCCCCTCCTCTCAGCCTGAAATGACCCACATAACCTGAGACTGTGACCCCCTTGTTCTGGACCTCTTGCCAGGGAATGCATCACCCTTGCATTGATCAGTCTAGCCCTGTCAGAATGTTAAATTGTTCAATGAAATTCCCTCTTGTTCTTCTAAACTCCAGAGAATGCAAGCTTAGTCAACCCATCTGTTCTTATGTGACAGACCTGCCATCCTAGGAATCATTCTGGGAACCTTTGTTGTTATGCTTCAATGGCAAGTCTATTTTTTTCTTAGTTAAGGAGACTAAAATTGCACAAAACACTCCAGGAGTGGTCTCACACAGCAATTTGAACAACTGCAATGAGACATCCTTATTTCTAAATTCAAATGCTCTTGCAATGAAGGAAAACACATAATTGTTTGGTGTACCTGCATACTTGCTTTTAGTGGCCTGTGTGTAAGGACTCCCACGTCCCTTTGTACAGCTACATTTCCCAATCTATCACTATTTAAGAAATATTCTGTCATTTTAATTTCCTTATCATAGTGGACAACTTCAAAATTACCAATGTTATACTGCATCTGGACATTCATTTGCCCACTTGCTCAACTTGTCTACGTCACTCTGAGGCATTTTTAGACCCTTTCTGATCACTCACAATCTCAACTAGTTTTGTGTCATGAGCAAACTTGGAATATTATATTTAATTCCCTCATCCAAATCATTGGTATATGTTGTGAATAGTTGAAGTCTGGGCACTGATCTCTGTAGTACCCTATGAATCACTGCCTTCCATCTCTATAAATTTACTCTGGATTTCTGTTTCCTCTCTACTAACCAATTCTCAACCTAAGGCAATATATTAACATGTGCTTTGATTTTGCACATTATTCTCTCATGTGGAACTTTATCAAAAGCTTTTTGAGAATCCAAATACACCACGCCCACTGGTCCTCCCTCATCTGTTCTACTTACTAAATGCTCAAAAATTCAGTAGCTTTGTCAAATATAATTTAAGTTTAATAAATCTACATTAACTTTATGTAATCCTGTTGGTATTTTTGAAGTATCCTGTTACCACATTCTTTATAATAGAGTCCAGCATTTTCTCTACTACTGATATTAGGCTAAACAATTTATAATTTCCAGCTTTCTTCCTCCCTCCTTTTCATATAGTGCCAATATATATAAAAACTCCTACAGTCTGCATTGTTGTTCCTTGCAACTCTACTCACATACACTGTTTCTTCATTCTGAATCATTTTCTTGGTCCTCCTTTGCTGAATTATAAATTGCTCCCAATCCTCAAGCTTGCTACTTTTTCAAGCGACTTTAAATGTCTCCTTTTTGGATCTAAAATTATCCACATTTCTTTCATTATCTATGATTGGGCTAGTTTTCCAGTTGTGTTCTCTGCTGAAAAGACTATGTAGGTGTTGCAATGCAAACATTCATTGTTTGAATATTAACCATTATCTATTGACTGTCATGCCTTTTATGATGTTTCCACTGGTTAAGAAGTTCCCATCAATATTCCACTGTTGGAGTCTCACTCTGGTTGTTTCTGTTGTGCCCGTTTCAACCTGGTGCTCCCAGAGAGGGGAAGCCCTGTCTGAGGAGGATTAGATAGCGTATGGAATCAGAGGATGAGACTCTTGATGACATAGCTGAGCCTTGTTGGCCAATTGCACAAGCTGGTGTACAGGATGCATTGGATCTCAGTGAGATGCAAGATTCTCTAATAATACCAAGACGTAACTAACAATTTGTAATTTAATCTATAAAACATCCTAGCCACACCCATTTTCTCTTGTTAGCTCCCACTTAATCAAAACCGGGGCCGTCTGTACATTGTGCCAATGTACTGTTACCCTAAGTGGCCAATCAGAGGAGCCCAAATGAGATTAGACCTCCCTTGACAGCATGCAGTCCATCCACATCAAAATCAGCGCATCACTAATGCACTCAGAGGGATTTGTGCCAATGGAAGAGGTAGAAGAAGAGGCAGTCACTTTCACAAGTGCCCTGAAAGGTGTTCCCTGATGGTGATGGAGCAGTTTATTCATGGCTGTGCAGTTCCTGCTTTCCTGAGAGCAGCCAAGCCCTGACTGTGATTCCATGCCCCTCTTGCCTTGGCTTTTGGTAGCTGAACTCAGAGACAAGGTGATGGAATGCAGGTTGGAGTGCAGGCCAAATATCCCTTCAGTGAGCTACTGAGTTTTGCCCTTCATGACGTTTGCCAGACTTTCAATGGTGGTAGTCACATATTCTCAGAATAGGACACTGCAGTGATCGTGGTCTGGATTTACTTCCCTGCCCATGCTGGGTTGTGCAGCCCTTGTGGAAGTTCTCATCCTTAGAGGTTGATGTTGTTCCATCGGAAATGGTGGGTACTGATGCTGATGTTTCACCTCTCAAAGAAGTAAACAAGAGGCATGAAGGTGACTATTATCATTTGGCGTCAGTTCACAGGGGTCACTTCCTTAAAACACACAGACATCTTTGGGAAAAGGTAGCCACAAAAACATATAGAAATATAGAAAATAAGAGCAGAAGTAGACTATTTGATCCCTTGAGCTTGCTACACCATTCATTATGATCATGGCTGATCATTTAGCTTAATATCCTCCTTCCATGGATGAGATCTCAGCTCCTTCAACAGTTGTCCCCAAATTCTGCAAGCCTCCAAATTCAGGACCTATCAATGCTACCACTTGGCCAATTTCTCTGGTTTCTCTCCAACGGCCTGCAATTCAGCTCTTTCTTTGCAACCGAGCGCTCTGCACCCATGGAATCCAACCACCCTGAGATCATTCTCTAACCTTGTCTTGCCCGAAGGGTTTCAGAAAACATCATTCAGTTTCTGTTAGCTTGCTAGTATGAAAGTAACTTTTAAAATCAGTGGAGATCTATTAAGCAATTAGACACTTCTTACTTTTAAAAAGAATACTGTTGTTAGACTAGATTGCAATTTCAATTAAAGGAGTTAATGTTTGTGAGAACAATCATTTCATAAGAAATACAGTCTGCAACCAACAATAAACATGGGGGTGCTGAATTTTAGTTTCTGCTTTAAATCAACCAGATTTGTTCACGGATACGTTTTGCCTGCAGGGCCCCCAGATCAGGCCTCCTCAACTCTGGCACAGATGATGAACAGGCAGCTCTGAGACAATAACGTATGGTTCACATGGAATCTCAGATGCAACCTCTTTCACTCACCTCTTGTGTTTCCTGCTGCTTTTTAACTATTGGCAGCTGGCTATCCTGGCCTATTTGTGGCACAGTAAACTGATAAGTTGTGTTTCCAGCCTCATGTATAGGAGACAAGGTTTCCACTTGTAAAATAGAGTGACATTTCATAATGCTTTTACAGGTCATCCCTTATAAACTCATTTTATCATGTTTTCATGAAGAAACTATTTGCAAAATCTTTACTCCGTTAATATATTTGCATGTAGAGATGGAACAGCTCTTTCTAATTCAGTTGTTAAAAAGGCTACAGTTAATTTTTAATTGGCATGGTGTGAATTTGGGGTGAAGCTCACATCTGACAGAGTGCACCTTTGACACTTCCTTGGTGATGTTTTATTAGGGCACGTTGTGGAGGAAGCCTTTGTCATAGTCATTGACTCATAGAGTCATAGAGCATGGAAACAGGCCCTTCAAGTCACCATGTCTATGTTGACCAACAAACATCAAACTACACTAATCCCATTTACCTGCACTTGGTCTGTTGCCTACAGTGTCCTGGTATTTTAAGTACTCATTCAGATGCTTTTTAAATGTTCCAACAGTATCTATCTCCATCACCTCTTTAGGCTGCACATTCCATGTACCAAATCATGTACTTTGGACTACTGAACTCACATGTGGGGGAACAGCTCATCTCCATCATAATAAAATTAGCCAAACAGGAAAGTGTAAGAAATCCTTGTGATAATTAACTCTGTTTATTCCCTTTCGGTATGGAGATACTTTGTTCATGTTTATGCTTACAGAAGTATACTCAGGGAATAGAAGGGAAGGAATAATTTAACTATTGATTTTCCGTTCTAACTTCTGATCTTGTAATATCTAGTGCCGCATTTCTTTTTAAAGTCGTTTAGTTAGCCACAGGGCCATAAGATGGAGGAGCAGAAGGCCCTTTGTATCTGTTCAGACATTCAATGAGATCATGGTTGAATTGATAATCCTCAACTCCACTTTCCTACATAATCCCTATAACCCTTGATTCTCTTACTGATTAAAATGCTGTCTTGATGCCACTCTACACTCACTTGTAGAGTTCAGTTTTTTTCTCCATGTTTAGACAAAGACGTAATGAAGTCACGATCTGAGTGGATCTGGTAGAACCCAAACTGAGTGTTGCGAGCAGGTTATTGTTGTGTAAATGCCACTTGATAGCACAGATGTGACAACTCCATTGCTTTGCTGATGGTCAGGAATAGATTGCTTGGGCAGTAATTGACAAGAGTGAATTTCTAAACAATTTTCCTGGCTAATTTCTCACTTTGTTAGATACATGCCACTGATACAAGAACAGCATGGCTAGGACATGGCTACTTCTGGAGAATAAGTGTTCAGTTCTACTGTCAGGATGTTGTCACGGTCCATATCCTTTGTAGGAGCCAGTATCTTCAACTATTTCTTGATCCCCTATACAGTGAATCAAATTCGCTAAAGATCGGATTGTGTGATGCTGGGTACTAGGAGAGGAGGCGGTGGTGGCTGATCCACTTGGCACTTTTTGGCTGAATATAGTTGTAGACGCTTCAGCCTTTTGCACACATTGAGGATGGTGATATTTATGAAGCATCCTCCTCAGGTCAGTTTTTTTTTAATAGTCCACCATTTTACATGGCTGGAGAGCTTTGATCTAATTTGTTGGTTGAGGGATTGTTCAGCTCTGTCTGTTGCATGCTGTTTCTGCTATTTGGTCCTGTGCTCTCCTACACTGCTCATTGAGCCAGCATTAATCCCTGATGTGGCAGTAATAGTAAAATGGGGGATATGTTGGGCGATGAGGTTACAGATTGTGTTTGAATAAAATTTGGCTGTGATGGTTCACAGAGCAGCATGCATGCCTGATTCAGAGTTGCTTGGTCTCTTCTTAACATACAGTAAAGTCACAAGAAGAGAAATCACAGGAGGCCACTCACACATTCATGGTAAGTGGATCTTCAAGATTGCTGTGCAGGCTCTTAGATAATCTGGTTTTGCCTGTTAAAAAAAGATGAAGACACAGTAAATGTGTGAAAAATGTTTTTATCTTTTGGCTTGTTCACACCTTACAATAGTCTGACTTTGTACACAAAAGAGCATTGAAAACCTTTGGGAATTAGCTCTGGAAAAGCCCTTTCCTACTTGGTGTGTTGTCTTTGGCTGACTGTGATACACTCCTCCATGTTGCCAATGCTGTTAAAACACTTTTTTTGTGTTTTTATGCTGCAGTGCAGAATCTCCAAGCAATTCTATGGCATTTGCACTTGTAGCTCAAGAAACATGAGGTTGAACAGACCTGCTCATTGGATGATTCAGGCTCATCAGTGTCCTTGGCTTCATGGTTCAAGAAAAGTACTATGTCTATAATTGCCTCAACTACCAGTTCTGTTGTTGACCTGACAATGCTATCCACTTAAGAGTACATTTTGTTAAAATGATGGATCAGTATCCTGAAATATTTACAGACAATTTATACTTTGAATTCCAACTTTTTTTTAGCAACAGAAGACTGCTCAGAAAAGTGGAAGTTATAAATTTAGTGAATGGATGATGAAGTCCTGTGTGAAGCCCATGGAGTATCGTACCTGTAAAATGCCAAGGAAACTTCAAACAGGGAGAGACTTAACAAGACGTGATAGGGAGGAGGTTGACTATCCCCCCATCAGTAGAAAACTGCTTACAAACATGTTTATTTTGTTCTCCAGGAATATGGCAAAAGAAAAAGGTTAAAAACCAACAGCAATATTAGTTTCTATGTGTTATTGACCAGATGTCCTAACGTATTAACT